TTACACATGTTACATGTATCTCGATTTGTTACTGCACGCCTTCTTTTTTCCAAATGTGAAGTAAGGGGAAATACATCTGGTTTGTTTATGATTCTACGTTGAGAAGGCTAGATTCTCTAATTTCTGTGTACATTCTGCTTAAGGTTTTACCACTTTCATATTCTTGGTTTCCACTGTAGCAGATGATAAATGTGTGAATTACAAAAAAAAAAGATCTGAATGAAGTGGGAAATCCAGAACACTAATATATATTTGCATCCTCGAAATATCGAGTCATTACATCGGCACGTCTGAATATACTTATTAGAACACACCCTTGCAATATCCGATGGTCCGAAGACAAATTCGTCGAGACACAAATTTTCAAAGTTACAACTCTTATAATATTGGATATTTTTTGTTGATTTGCTAATTTGAATTAAATGCATTGTAAAAAAGAGATCGAATAATGATTTTATTATATTCGATATATTTTGAATGCTTGCCTATAAAAATAGGAAGATGTGGTATGATGTGCCGATGAGAAAACTATCCACAAGTGACCAATTGACATAAAATTTACAGCTATAGGTCATCGTACGGCCTTGAACAATGAGCAAAACCAATACAAGATAGTCAGCTACAAAAAGAACCGACATATGTTAACCAATTCAAACGAGAAAAACTAACACTCTGATTTATATTCAAAAAAATTAACAGCAAAATATGACAAAAAGCAACAAACGACAACCACTAAATTATAATTACTGATATTGCCTCTGATTACTCTAAATACTAGGAGGGTTTAGTGAAAATATCTCCAGTGCATCAAAGTAGTTAACTTGAGTAGAATAAGGTACATTTTAGATAATGCTTATACTATTAGTTTTCACTCCATAATTTTACAACTCCTAAAATAAATATTGTGTGGTACTACCGTGTAGATACATGTCACTGTAGATTGATATACATAATTAATTTGGTGTTCAATACATTGCTAGCTGACATGTAATTCAGATCTTCTTACTCCTGAAGTACATGTATATTGATGATTTAACTGAACATATGCCACTGTTAGTCATTTGGCGGTTTTCGTTTTTCGCTTTTTTGCAATAACATTGTCAGTATGTTTAACTGACTTAACTAGTATCTTTCGCCTCTCTGTTTTCTTCATGCATGATTAACATTTGCATGTTTTGATAAAAATGAAGGTTGTCTGTCTCAAATGTTCAACTGCCAAACATGAAAATGTCCGCCATGCAAGTCTCAACAGATTACCGACAACAGAACGCTTAGTCACATTACACCCACAGACTATTCTGAATCTCAGTTGTCAAATCGGCCATAAAGCTTAGCACAGACGAAGCAGCGATTAAAAAAATCAAGTCTTTGGTTTGAACTGCTGGAAAACACATTCATGACTATTGCTGAGATGTGATGATTTCTAACATAAGCTTAACGTTTCAGATAATTAATTCGGAACTATTTGGTTTTCCTAGTGCCCATCATTTAGGAGTAACAGTGAAAACAGACAAACTCGCAGGGAGTTGTATATAGTTTCTACTGTGCGTGAAGCAATACAATGGTTTAATACACGTGTATTCCCTCACATTTGATGTCAGATTGTGTTGTTTTGCTTTACGACTTCTTACTATCTGCAATCATGTCGGCCGATGAGATCAATGGTCGTACATTTTGAGCGATCATCTTAAACCTTTTATTAACTAGTTCGGTTTTTATAAATCATTGGCCTTCAAATATTCGGCTTTTGAGCGTTCCTGATGAAGGTAAATCCAGAAAAGCACTTCTGACGCATGTTATTTTTACCGTGTTGTTTTCTTTTTTTATGGATTGCATGGAAATCATATATTGCGTTTAATCATTGATTTCAGTTCTAAGTATTGGTACGGTAGGAATACTAAATCCATGGTGTCGCAATGAACGTTTTGCTAGCCTCGAAAGTGGGAGGTTGTTGATATCCATTTAACACTGCTTCCCGCTATACAAGTTGAATTTAAGATTAAGATCAAATATTAGAAGCTTTGAGCCAGGATAATGTTAAAAAGGAGAACGTTGACATCCAACACAGCGTGCTGGTCTTGTAAAAGCAGAATACATTCATACCATATAAACATGAAACATCAATATCATTTTCGGCCTGCATATTTATGTAATAGTTGCCGGTGTTCCTTAAGCGCTCATATATCCATGTGCCGGTATTTTGATTAATGCGTGACGTCAGTTTAATATATGAGCAACACTATGTACATTATTTATAATAAATGATTCAGTTGTGAGGTAGTTTTGATAACGAAATATGTTTCTGTGTTCCTTTTAAGTTTGTATATTAGTTGCTTTTCTCTCTTGGAGGGGGGCGTGCAAATGGTTAGCATGCTGCACCTTTCAGTTCAATATATTTTGAAGTAAAACATGTCTAAACAAGATCGTAAATTGAAATAATTTTTAAAAGTTCATGTCAACGATAAACATGCGAGTAAGTTGAAGTGACCCATCTAAATGGTAATCCCTTTTTTTGTCATATTTAGTTTTTGATTTATTATTTCAGCACAATTTAGGTCGTTGGTTGTCTCATTTTATCATGTCGGGTAACACGATAGGTGAAGTGTCCGGCTGGGATTGTGTGTTTCTGGTGAATCGGTCAACCTTTTTCGAGTGAAATTAAATGGGACTTGATCGATTTACTGCTATTTCGCAAGTATGATAGTTTTATTCATGACTGTTCATCTTCTTCTGAATACTATATACATATCAAGCACAAACTACGTAATATTTCCATGAATTTTACTCAAAATTCAGCTTTTTACATTTGGCAAGGGTTTTACTGCCGGTCAGAACATGACCTTAGGGACAATATTTCTATTTTCGATTCCCAAAAAGATTATCATTCAGATTGGTCACTTCAATTTACTTATATGTTTATTGTTGTTATAAATTTTTAGAAATTATTACAAATTACGATTTCAAAATGCCTGACACCTACACATAGATAGATGGGCGCTTAATTTACAGTGCCAACTATTACATAAATATGCAGGCTGAAAATAAAGTTAATGTTATATTGCAATATGGTATGAATGTATTCAGCTTTTATGAGACCTTCACGCTGAGTTGAATGCTAAAGTTCTGCCTTTTAATATTATCCTGGCTCCAAGCTACTAATATTTGATTTAATTTTTAAACTCAACGTGCATAACGGGTAGCAGTATAAATGAAAATTCAACAACCTCCAACTTCCGAGGCTAGCACAACATTCATTGCGACCCAGTGGATTCAGTATTCCTACCGTTCCAATACTTAGAATTGCACACGTTAGAAATTGCAAAACAATATGTATGTTCCAAGAATTTGTAATCATCTATAGGTATCAAAAGCTCAGTGACTATCGACCATCATGCAAACATGGCAGATACCGCTATTGCTTAACTGATAAAAAACAAAACATTTCAAATTTACGTATCTTTGACATACACAGATTTTTTTTATATCATAGTTATAACTATATTGAGGTCATCGTAGGTAATATCGGCTATTCAACGTTTGGGTAAGGTCTTTGATTTTCAAACATACTGGATTTGACGTCACTGACTAGACAATAAACCTTCAATTACTCGGTTGTTGTCCAACATTGAAACCATTAAATGTAACTCAAACTCTAGTCAATTGTTACTTTTGTTTATTTCAAGTTTTTATTTTGAAATTTTGTTTTAATTATAAGTTTGCACCTTTAGCACCTTTTCTAATATTTCAAGCTCTAATGTGACCCGTTTTAAGACAACGATAGATTTATTGAAATCGCGAATATCTGCCGCCGTCAGCACTTAGTTGTACAATAAGGGCAATAAAGACAATATGATATTTACATATTATCCCATGGTGGGATTTGATTATTTAGTTCTATCTATTCAAGCCCTTCCTGATAGCTATCAGTGGAATTGCATATATCCCAGGAAATGAACCACATTAAAATATCAGTAAAGCCATATGACGCATGTAAGACTTCAAACATCACACAGTCACTTCCCAACAGAACAATAACGATTACAAAATACTACTTACACGTTAATCTCTGCTTTAGTTCTGTTATTTTCTGTTGTTATTTTTATGACACACATTTGCGAGCAATTTCGGTTGTATATTAAGGGCAAGCATATCGTTCTCTGCTTTTCTTTATGGTCATACATTTGATAAAAACATTGTATAGGGAAACAGAAACGTGCCTTATGGACTAAAAGACGATATGATTTGTAGAAAAACGTCTGTCATTTAAATTGATACCTTAATTGTTTTATTTTTTGTTAATCAAAACCATCAAAACCATTGTCATTAAGGTTTACATTCAAACATTTTTTTTATATTACCATTATCAATGATTATGACCAAAACTGTGTTGACATTCTTTTATGATTTGCATGTTACGCAATATGTTAATATGATTGGTCGAGCGGGCTTCCGATAGGGACTCTGAGAGTTATTTTTTTCTCGATAGACGACGTTGACGGAACTACTTTTCGTGACCAATGTAAACAAGATTGCGGCGATAATAACTCGACGTTAAACGTATTTATTTTCACTATGAGTTCTACATTAAAATAAATAATAAACGCAAACTATTCATTTGAATGGTAATTTTTGTAGTTTATTTTTTTATCGGATTGCAAATTTCATGAAGTACATTTTTTGCGTTAACCAAAAAATATTCATGCACTAGGCCAATTCAATGACACAAATATACAATTAACGTGTGAAAGACTTTATGGTGTGGAAATAACATTCCTTATCACCAAATTTGAAGAACAATAAGGATATAAACGCCTTTTAAAAGGGGTTAATCGGCAAATAACTGGACCAAGACACTCACAAACATATCATAACAGTCCTTTGGACTTTTATTGATTTGGGAGTTAATTCGTCCAGTTTATACACCAATAAATTCCTTAAAAAAGGTATTTGATCCTATATTACACAGCACTATGATGCATATAAACGAATCAACTTCTTACCTTCTATGATTTCCAGAAATAATTCACCATACATCTGCCAATATGGCAAATTTACCACATCTCTAAGAAGAGCAAATGTTAGTTCTGAATTGGGATACAGATTAGCCTGCATTATAATTCCAAAGCTCACGAGAACAACAGCAAAAATCATGATAAAAAATAGTAAAACAGTCACCTGAAATGTATGCTGCATTGATAAATAAAAATTGACAATTACATCTAAATATCAAAAGACATATAATTACCTCATAAATGTTGTTTACCTGGCTATTAGACAAATGAGTTAAGCAGATGACGACGGATATGTTCCAACTGTAATAACCACAATCCCGTTTCCTTTTCCTCGAATGTGACTAACTAAATTAATCTCATCAATTGGTATATGATCAAATTAGCAACTCCAGGTGTGCCACATGTAAAGCAGGATCTGCTTTACCTTCCGGAGAACCTGATATAACTCCCTGTTGTGGAGGTGTTTACCTCTTAGTCTACTTTTCTTTATTGTTTTTGTGTACTGATGTTTGTCTCTTAATCTTTTTTTTTCCATCTCGTCGTCAGCTTATTTTCAACTTATTAGTTTGAATGTTCTTTTGGTATCTTTCGCCTCTCTTTTGTAATTTAGGAATAAGTTACATATGAGAACGATAAAATGCATAAAATACAAAAAACAATAAGCTCAACACTTCTGCATTATTAAAAGATCAATATTGTATATATGCATATCTGTATAATATCTATATCGTTCAGAAGAGGCAGCTGTTCTTCTGCTATTGTATATATTTACCATTTCAATATATTTCTTGTAAACACATAACTTCCACTGAATATACTCCTATTTTTACTTCAAGACTAGTTATGCTGCATATGGTGATGCTAAATAGAACACTAGTTACTAATTTTGACCTTAAAGTATACAGCGACTGTTCACGTGCTATTAATATCCTGTCTTACGTTATTAACAGTACTACAGTACTTGATTTAACATTTGCCGGAATACATGTTGGTGCCATTGTGCTATTATGCGATTGAAATGTCTTATATGTTTCTCGTCTTAAAGTTTAAAAGTCCGGATTTAATATTAATGTATATATCAGAGGGAATTCAATAGAAACAATTCCTGGGCTTTAAATTTAAAATTCAAAAATTAATCGTTTGTTACAAACAGTGTTGTAATGTACTATGAACAATAGCAAATTAACACTGTCTTATCAGTGAGACACCTTACGATTTTTACGTTGGAGCACGTAAAAGATCAGCACTTGCATGTGCAATACATGTCGTCCCAATATCACTTACCATTTTACGTATCATTATAATCTTTGGTCCTGTATTTTTTGCAACATAAAAAAACTGTAATGTTCGAATGATAAAGAAAGCAAGAGTTACGCTGTACATCATTCGTGCAGGTTTAAAATTATCTTGATGCAATGCAAATCTTAGAACGACTGACAGTAAAAACAAGAAATTCATGAACACGTCATATTTGTTCCAAGCATCTTTCCACCAGCTGCAAAGTCTGTGCCGTAGACTACGTTGTTCTCTTTGACATATCTAAAAAAAAAAAAAAAAAGAATTACAGTTGCAGCAAACGATATTGAAATTCAGTGATTGTCAACGAATTCTTAAGTATTTTTAAATAGGGAATACATTTAGAATTTGACAGATGTGTTTAACGCGTCGTCTTTATCTGTGATTCAACACAGCATTTACGTCTACGACTTGAAGCATAAGAACGTAAAGTCATTTGTTCTGATTCGGGTTACCATTGTTCATATTGGGCTAGCAACATATTTGTTATACTGTTTGTCTTAAATTTAACCGAACGATATTAAATATTTGCAGTAGCAGCTGTCTGGCGTTGCATACACATGTATTATATATATACTAAGATTTTTTTTATGAGAAAAAAAAACACCTTAAAAGATCTTTGAAATAAAATTAAGTCGTCCACGACAAGCGTTACATTCACATTACTCAATTTTGATTGGTTATTTAGGTATTTAGGCTATACTGTGTTCTTTCCAACACAAGTTTTCCAAACTTCGACCTTCAATAATGTAACGCAGAAAATGCGTCTACAGTGGGAAACTTCATGTTGATTTTATTCATCGTTGTTTTAACCAAATGAATTAATTGATTGCTAGAACTAATGAATAGATGTGAATGAAAAATATGTTCTGATCTTAGCAGACCTCAAAGTACCAAATTATCAATAATAAAGCAATTTCATTTTTTTTGGTTCAAGAATAATATAATAAATACTTTAGAAACAGACACTGAACATGGTTAAGAGAATTTTATTTCAAGGGAAAATCTGAACAACTTTAATCAATAACCCTATCTTTTTGTTTCTTGACACTAATGTATTGGCACATCACATATCTAGGTGCAAATCAGGCAAGATAAATATAATTAAGCCTTAATGAAAAAAGTAATCAGTATATTCTATTTCAATTTCGTACAAAACATCCCTTAGAGAAGAACACTTTTCGATATACCATTCATCATACATATCGATATATTAACCTGTCGAAGTTCTTCCAATACCAAAGTTAAAATCCATCCGAAAATAAGGTATTCCATCAACGAGAATTGACCATCTGTAAATGGGCGTAAATCTGTTAACACGAAGAAGCTGAAGCAGAATAGCATCACGATGCATGAAATCTACAAAAAAAAAGAATACAGATGAAACGGACAGCTCTACAACAAACTCAATTACAAGATTAAAATCTCATTTAATATATAAGACATCTCATATTATCTTGTTTTTATAAACTTGATAAGAGATTTTATATACAGTATAAGATATCTTATATACTATATAAGATATCGTATTATACTTTATAAGATATTTTCAAATTCAATAAGATATCCTATATATTTGATCAGATATATCACATGTAGTTTATCAGATATCACATATAATTATAAGATATCTCATATCATTTATAAGATATCTTATCAAACAAATTACATAAGATATCTTATGAATTATATGATATATCTTATAAACTATATATGATATCTTATAAAGTATATAAGCTATCATTAAAACTATATACGATATATTATACATTATATGAGATATCTTTTGAGATACCTTTTATGATCTATAAGATATCTTTTACAATATAGATTTTATGAGATATCTTATATAATCTAGCTGTTATAAGATAACTTATATTATCTAGTTTCTATAAGATATATTATATATTAAATGAGGTACTATAAGATATGTTATGTATTATATAAGATATCCTACAGTTTATTAAATATGTTATATACTTGTTAAGATATCTTATAAGATATCTTATTAGGTATAAAGTATATAAGATATCTTTTAAAGTATATAAGATATATTATACAGTATATAAAATATCATATAAAGTATAAGATATGTTATAAATACATAATTTATATAAGATTTGTTATAAATAGAAAGTTTTATACATGATACGTTATAAATAAATAGCTTTATAAAAAGATATGTTATAAATAAATAGTTTTATATAAAATATCTTATAAAGTATATAAGATATCTTATAAATACATATGTTCATATAAGATATCTTATTTACTTCATTAGATATCACATATAAAATATGGGATGTCTTATATAGTTTATAAGATATCTCATATGGTTTTAAGATATCTCATACAATTTATTAGATATCTTATACAGAAAATTATAAGTGATTTCTGATATAATATAAAACAAATATCTTATCTAATATATGTAGTATCTCTAGTAAAGATTGATAGATATCTTAATAAAGTCCCTTTCGGTAAATGGATTTACAATAACATAAGATCAGATTACTTAAACAATTGAAGGAAATTTAAGCTTGTATATGTTTTAGTTGTTTTTCAAAAGACTTTTTTTTTGTAAATTATGTTTTTTTAGTTTTTATTGTGAATCCCGGTGTACAACATTTCATTCGAAATAAACATTTGTCATTTCTATGAGTACATAAAACAGGCAATGCGATACAGTCTCATCGAAACATCTCACAAACATTGAATATTATTGAACCCATAGCTAAACTGTAAGAAAAAAAAATGTTAAAATACTGTACACCGAAAAAGAAAACAACAAAACACTGGACAATACTTGGAGGCATAATTTATGACATGCTTTTTTCTTAATTGTCCCTTTATCAATTAATCCTTGGATTTTTTATATTTACTTTGGATGTTCTTAACGGAGGTCAATCCAGAAAAGCCATTCGGACACATTAAATATTTAAGATATATTTTCACTTTAAACTAGATTCATGAACGTTTAACCTCGGCAGACTTCTGTTGCCTTAATTGAAACATTTGAAATAATTTAAAACATTTATAATTTGATTCTTTTGTAAACGTAGGATGATTCGTTAGGTTTTCGGTTTTTTGGTTCAAACATGAAACAACAATTAAAATAACAAGAATATAAAGGTAACAGTAACGGAAAGGTGTGTATTAGAATTATATATTATTTATAGTAATCAGTATTGACACTATTTATACTTGTCTATTGATGAAGTATCAGTTATTGAGAAAGTAAGGATCCAACTCTCTCAGACAAGTTTTATCTTACATGAAATTGGTTTATTTTTATATGTCCTGTTTTGGTCATATGACTCTTGAAATAGTCAGGTACTTAGATATAATTGGCCCTAAAATGTTTGGTTTCAGCACTCAGAATGTATCATTGTAATTTTCAATAGTATGCCAGTACTACCTTTATAGGCGAGCAATACCTTTGCAATCTAACATCATCGGCATATATATAAAATGACAGTATAACTAACGTATTTAGACGATTTTTGCAAAAGCTATTGATGGCTAAAATGCATACATTTTTTTACCTAACAATCCATTTTTTTAAATAAGTTTTCCATACTCCTTTTGTCGCGATTTTTTTCATAAAAAATTTTTAGCGTATACTGAAATACAATGTTTTGTGAAAATTCTTAGTGTCAAATGCTTTTAATATATGTCCATAGTTTTTACTGGTGGGGATAATGTATTGACAATATATGTTTGCACAGCTAAAAACCTACCATGATTCATTTGAAGTGCGATAATTTGATCACGTTTTAATTGTAGAATAACGCGCATTTAAAATAACTACATTACGCCAAACTATACTATTTTCTTCCCAATGCTTATTCCATTCTCAACTTTTAAGTAAGATTGTGTAATTATATATTTTATTATAATGAATTTAAGAACTATGATCCTTTTTTCTTTTATAGTGACTATTGTATGCTCAACTGACAAAGATCAAATATACGTTTAATAACATTTTATGACAGAAACGTTTCAATATACCTTCCTGTCCACTTTTCGCTGAAATTTATATCACCGCATTGACTTCTCACCACATTTGTCCAGAATTTTGTCACCGGAGCACTATAGAACAAATACAAGGCATCAATGATGCCTAATTTGCCCTTAGATGAGTCTGTACAACCACACCAATTAATTCTTAAAAACGGTTCTTTATAATCACGTTTTTCTCCATTTGTGTGTCTCAAAAATTTAATACGTGGTATTAAAAAGGGTAAGAAAATGCAAAGCAAGATCTGAAATGTAAATATTTAAAATTAAATAAAATGTTATCATTTAAAAGAAATTCCTGAGAGCCAATTATTAAGAAAACAGCTATTTGTAAAAACAAAACATGCAAATTGCTAAGGTAAACATTAAATACATCGAATTTCACAAACAAGTTCTTTGATATCATTATCATTTTATATTGTAAATGATGTTTAAACAAATCTTTCCCTTAGATGCATTTATTTGGGTTGGTGCAGTCAACATGTGCTATATGTAGAAGATAATTTTGTTTCTGTAGCATTTGTTCTTTTGGATCATTTAAATATTTTCTCTGACAGTACTTTGATTATATGTCAATGAAACTGATTTTAGTTAACAGTAGTTGGTCGATTTTCAATTCGAATAGTCACTTCAGATAGTACAAATCAAGGTAACAACCAACAACTGAGAAAATCGCATGAATTGCAGATAGAATGAATCTGATTACATCATTGATCAACAAGTAAGTATATCATGTTATACAGACAGGTGCGGTCCTAACCTGTACAAAAGTTAATTTGGAACAGACTTTTTGACTGTTTTCCAAGTTAACTTAAGAAATATTAACATGTTTAAGCAGACAAGCAAGGTAACTTCGTCATAGATAGACCAGAAATATGACTGCTTTTCTAGGACTGCTGCAGACCTATTGACAAGTCTGCTCCGGACCAGACCTGTGTGTGGACAAGTCTGCTATTGATTAATTCTGAGGACAGGTCTGCCCCAAACCAGACCTATGGACAGGTCTGCTACTGACCAGACCTCCGGACAGGTCTGCTTATGACAAATTGCCGTGTTTAAGACTTTTCATATTATACCTGTGCTTTTATTATATAAACCTAATCGAATTATTCTTTTTTCCCAGTTTTACAAATTACTATAGTCGTCAGAGCTTGACTCATTGTGCATATTAAAAACATTAATATATTTGTATATGCATTTAGGAAATACCTGTACAATTTCACACTTGTTGATCGACATGTATACATGCAGCTATTATAAAGGAAAGGAAAGTTTTTTTTAATTGGAAGGTGGATAGAAAGGTTATCCAACGCATTGGAAAAACATTTTCATATAGTGGTATAGAAACATCATTATTTGCATCGCTTCGTTTCCAATTTTTTACAGTCTCTTCCAAAATATATCTGTATGCATTATATGGATTATTCGTCGTAATTCACCTTGTTTGTCTTGGATTTACGATTCTGTTTTTGACAAAATGTTCAAACTAAAATTGTATAGTGTCCGGATATATAAGGTGTTGTATATTTATAAACCATCAGGTCAGTTTCGCCAGATTCATCTATACCGAATATAAATGATATCTCAGACGTCAGAAAACATTACTCGTTCTGGACATTCAGCTACCAACAAATTCTATCAACCGACATTATATACTAACAGTCATTCAATATACTATTCGAAGATGATAACTTCTCATAATTTTCATAATTAAGTACAAATATAATCAGTCATGTCAGTCTTGGATGATGCGGCCAAATAGGTTTGTTATACAAACCATCCTGAAATATGAAAACTACCGACTTTAGTGACGATTCAATATTATGAATACCAAGAGGAAATGCTGGCACTCTAAATTGATGCGGACAATATGTTGTAGTCCTCATGGCCATTGTGTACCAATATCTGTCATTAGTTTAATACAATGAATCCTGAGTTAAAACAAATACTGATTTATGATGCGGCTTTAAAATTGCAAACGATCACGAATATGATCAGTCAGAAAATGATTCATAGATGATGTCACCTCATACATGTCGTACCTTTTCATGCTCATTATAAAGTACAAATATGGTCAGAGTTGATTGATTCAAATAGTGTTGTTATACGAGCCAGCCTGATATATTATAAGTACGGATTATTTGTGACGCGTCAATATTTTGAATAAAAAGAGGCCATGCTGGCACTCTAAATTGATGCAGACAAAATTGTGCAGTCATTGTATTCCAATATTGCTGCCATTTGTATTATACAATCCATCTTGACACAAAACAAAATTACTGATTTATTATGCGGCAATATAAATTTACATAATAAAGTGCAAACATAGTCAGTTTTGGTTGATGCGCTCAAATAATTGTATTATACGAGCAAGTCTGTGATATCAAAGTTACTGAATTTTTGTTACAAGTGAATAGTTTGGATAAAAAGGGACATGCTGGTCCTCTTAATTGATGCAGAGAATTTTTTGTGGTCATTGTGTCCGAATATTGCTGTCATTTGTATCAACAATACATCCTGACATGAAAAAAAAACTGATTTATTATGCAGCCATATACATTTTCATAATAACGTGCAAAAATGGTCAGTTTTGGTGGATGCGGTCAAAAAGTTTGAGAAACGATCCAGCCTGAGATATCAAAACTACTGCGTTTTTGTGGCGACTCATTATTTTGAACATGTTGAATAAAAAAAGTACATACTAACACAAAATTGAAGCAGACAAAATTTTGTAGTCATTGTGTTCCAATATTACTATCATTTGTATTATACAACCCATTCTGACATAAAGAAAACAAAAATTGTTCTGCTGCTATAGAAATTAACATAATAAAGTTCAAATATGGTCAGTTTTGACTGATGCATAATTTTGTTATGCAAGCCAGTTTAAGATGTGAAAACTGCTGATTTTAGTGATGATTTAATTACTTGACTACAAAGAGGACATGCTGGCACTGTTAATTGACGCAGAAAAAAAAAAAAAACCATAATAATGTTGGCACTCTGAATTATAGCCGACCATGAACATGATAAACATTAGTAACTGTACACCAATATTGCTTTCATTTATCATGATTACTTTATACAATCTACGTACTCTGTTGTTGTCTGTGTTTTCTTGATTTTATCTGGATTGGGTTGCTCAAAACGTTTGATAGTGTTAGCCAGTGGTTAAACTGCTTATCCACTGGTTAACTTTAAACCAATGGATTATTTTTATTGCTCAAAATTTATCCAGTGGATAAAACGTGCTATCCGGCGGATACATTTAACCGGTACTTTTTGGCTGGTAAAGTTTTAGTCATTGGTTAAAAACGGCATTGAGATTGATTTACAATGGGTTATTTTAAATTCATTTTTTGAAATTTCAGATTATTTCATTGTTCATAACTCGTCCACCTTTATATCATGAAAATTTGATCTCGCTGTAAATCCCCCCCCCCCCCTTTAAAAAATTCTTCACTTTACACTTTACTTCGATTGTATGTCATACACAGTTAACACTCACTTGTGGCGTTTTATATGGTAATTGTGAAGTCAACAACTTATAATAAATATATGCTATACATGTCAATTTTTAAATCTGTGTCATCCTCATTGACATTGAAAGCATGGCCCGGCTTCCATGGACGCTGTTCTTTAATTTGCACATTGCGATTACCAGTCCAAAAATTAAGAAAACAATACTTTATCAACATATAGTGGTAGAGGTTCATTACATTTGCACGCATTTAATCAACAGGAACCAGTGGTAGATCTAGAGTTGTACATATTATGAATCCATAGTTTCAATGTCTTGAATTTATTTTTCTTTTCTCTGTAATATGCCGAATTTAACCGTTTTTTTTTTTTTTTTTTGGCCTCGTTTTTCAATCGGTCCACATTGAGGACCAGAGGATCCCAAATTAAACTTTATTTGATTTCATAAAAAAATCGAATTACCAGGGTTCTAACCGTGTATTTAAATTTTGAATTTTGGGCTCCGTATTTTAATTGGTTCACATTGGGTCCAAAGGATCCAAAAAGGATTCAAAATTAAACTATTGTGATTTCATCAAAAAATTAATTCACTGGGGTTATATGAAATACTGATTCTAATCGTGTATTTGGATTTTAAATTTTAAACTGGTCCACATTAAGGTCGAAAGGTCTAAAATTAAACTTTGTTCATTTCAACATATAATAAATAAATTGGATTCTTTGATATGCTGAATCTAACCATACCTTATTTAGAAGATTGGAAGACCCCATTAATGAGCTACTTTTATAGTTAACGCAGCATGTGCCACTATGAATTTACGTTAATTGTATTGTCGGTGTCGAATGGTATTTTGAACCCCCTGAAAAGTGAACCCGGGGTCAAAATACCATATGGAAAATTGACCCCGGGGTCATTATACCGCATGGTATTTTGACCCCGGGGTCATTTTTCCCATATGGTATTTTGAACCCCAACACGGAAAATTGAACCCCCCTGTTTTAGATAAAAAGTATTGCAGATTATCTAATTTACAATTTGTTGGCTAGGATTTGTTTTAAAATTTGAGGTCTATAGTAAGGGGTACAATATACCATGGCAGGGGGGTCAAAATACCATGGCTAAGAAAGATTTTCATAGCATCTTTTCCAGCATGTTAAATATATACAAACTACTTATTGGAGTATCATAACTATGTAAAGGAGCCAGAATAGCTAGAATTTTTGAAGTTAGAAGTCTATAGTAGGGGGTTCAATATACCATGATAGGGGGGTCAAAATACCATGACAGGGGGGTCAAAATACCATGGCTTAGTGAAATGTTCAAAACATCTTTTCAAGCATGTAAAATACATACAAAGTACTTATTGGAGTATTATTACTATGTAAAGGAGTTATAATAGCTAGAATTTTAAAATTGGAGGTTTAAAAGGGGGGGTTCAATATACCTGGGCAGGGGGGGTCAAAATACCATGTATTATGACTATGTAAAGAAGTTAGAATGAAAGTTAATGAAAATTATTTTTGTAAAGACTTTATAGCACTAATTGCCCTTCTACTAAGGGAAATTGACCCTCCCCTTTTAAGATGTCTGAATTTCAATCTATAATAATGTGTTTAAAGATATTTAATTATTAAATAAGTACTTGGTATGAAAGAGCATGAAGGAAAGACGATTCAACAATTTCACTTAGCCATGGTATTTTAATCCCCCCCCCCCCCTGCCATGGTAAATTGAACCTCCTTCCTATTCACCTCTTTATTTAAA